GCTTCATTAAATTTTTATTATCATCCCAGACTAGAGCAGGGAATGAGCAGAAAGACTGTCCATCTAATTGCAATTGATAAAAAAAAAAAAGCTCTTAGATTTCCCCCCTCATTTTAATATATTAACAGCAGTTTTCTTCATGTGTCCAGTCTTTCCCAACCCTGTGATACAAACAATCACTTTATCACACAGATACATTTTCCACTTCCAACAGGCACCAGGCTTGGCTGTCTTCTCTGCCCTTAGAGAAGGCCTTGGGGGGTTAGTGGGAGTGGAGGAAGAGAGTAGTAGAGGCTGGCTTTGGAAAGTGATGCTATATGAAAAAAGAAAAAAAAGGTGACATCAGTTCTTGAAGCATCTGGTGGAAAGATCAAGGAGAGACAACATTTGCACTAAGCTGGTTCTTCCTGTGGCAAGATGAAAGCATATTGTTACCCAGACAAAACAAACAGATTATTAAACTGGGCTGCACTTTTCGACAGCCTTTCTGCTCTGTGAGATGAAAGCAAAGAGCAATATTTTCATTTTATTTCTTTATTTCTCACTGCTACCCCCCCCACCTCTCTCTCCCTCCTTCCCTTTCTCTATCTCTCTCATTCTCTCACACACACAACTCAAAACATTTGTTCTTCTTGAGCCTTCTATATGTGTTGTTAATCTGACTGTCATACCAGATGACTATAGATTGTGTGTGCGGTGTGTGTGTGTGTGTGTGTGTGTGTGTGTGTTTAGGGAGTCTATCTCAACAAGGGTGCTTTAAATTTTTTTTGAAACTGGGGTAAATAAAGCTTTTCATCTCCAGGCCTTGGAAGTACAGAATAAAACCCACAGTTTGCTTTCTGAGCAGCTTCCTATTATCACATTGCCACTTAATTTTATTTCTATTCTCTCCAAGTTAAATAGAAAGACTAGCTCACAAGGGAGCTGCCATGTGCCTACAGACTGGGGATGTCAAGCAGAGAGACTCACTGTGCAAAGTTAATTTCAATTCCCGAGGAGGATTTCACATTCCGGCTGGCTCTGACCCACAGTAATTAGCTGAGATAACTAATGATTACTTACTTATTCCTTGTAATTATCTGGATTTAATAATTTGCTGTGTAATTTATTAATTCACTCATAATAGCCTTTCAGTACTGTGAAAGGCTCCTTTAAAGGGGCAAAGCAGGAAAAATATAGTGATTTTTTTTTTCTCATTGCCATAAATCTGTCTTCTGACAAATGTAGACTTTAGGAACATTTCTATCATCATAACTATCTGGGAACCTTTGTCTTCTTTTTTGTCCTATCAGAACACCAATCTAACTTTTTTTTCCTTAGCCTTGTGTTGCAGCCCCTCCCTCCAAGACCAAATGAACAGTGAAGTACAGTTTTGAGTTTTAATGTGCACCTTTTACCTGGAGTATAAATTGTTTTCACCAAATAATTTAAACTGTTTATTTCTAAACTTGCAGTCATGGCTTGCTTGGAAAATTTTGAGCTTCATCTTCTGAACAATATGCCTTTTAAAATCAAGTGAATTTTTTAATGTTCTTTCTACCATGTCTTCAAGAGTGTCCCCAATAGATAGACCAAAATGAATTCATTTAAAATTTGAAATAAAGCATTTTTACACCCCAAATTCCAAGTCCCTTGGCAAAGAGAGGCCTCAGAATCTGTCCTTGATAGCAAAAAGACTTAGTTATGTTTGTTATTTATTTTAAAGTATGTTTTATAGAAAATTGAAGAACATTATATTGAACATAAATCCTAATTATTTCACTTGCTTTTTCTTATTTCCATTATTTTTCCCCAAGCTATGTGCCAATGAGACGTAATCTGATGAAGAATTGACCAGTTGATTTAATGTGAAATATCCAAAGAAATCTGCACTCTTTCTGGATAATATCAGAATATAATTGATGTAGAGAGAACTCAGATATCAACCAGGCCTTACATGATCTTTGTTGTTGGACATTTATTCCATTCTTGTTTAGACTTAAATGATCACAATGCACAAAAAGATTGGATCACTTGCCTTTGGAGAAGTTTTAAGAAATAAATTGTATAGTTCTGAAATGTCAAATTGTGGATGACCATGTGTGCTGCTAAGTCAATTCATAAAATATCTCTTTCTAATTAAGTAATAATTATTGTGGACCTTGAAGAGAAAAAAATAGGAAATGAGTCATTAATGCCAATGGATTTGATTGATATGACAAGGCTCTTCAGCTGCAATTTGCTATCTATCCATTTCAGTATTTTGAAAGTCAGTACTAAATAAATATTTCTCAATAATTTATACCAGATTCATTTTGTTCTTACCTTTAACTTCTTCTTTAAGATCAATCCTCTTCTCTCCAAATTCCTTTGGTTTGTTTTGATATGTCTCTGTGACTCTCATTAATAAAAACTTTCAGAATATTTCTTTTTTAAAATTCTGATTTTCCCATAAAACAAACACATTTAAGTAGGCTTAAATAATGGATATAATTTCCATCTTGTAGGCAAGAGAGCTTCTTTTTTTACCTTTGTAACAATGTAGAGAAGATGTACTTAAAACTTATATAGGTTTATTTTTAAGATTTTATTTATTTATTTGACAGAGAGATCACAAGCAGGCAGAGAGAGAGGAGGAAGCAGGCTCCCTGCTGAGCAGAGAGCCCAATGCGGGGCTCGATCCCAGGACTCTGAGATCATGACCTGAGCCAAAGGCAGCAGCTTAACCCACTGAGCCACCCAGGCGCCCCAAAACTTATATAGTTTTAAAAGTGCAGGAACATGGGAGACAAAAAATACTTGGTGAGTGAGAGGGGAAATACAGGTCTTCACTCTCAACTGTTGAAGTGAATGGATAGTTGTTGTTATTATGTCATTTTTTTTCATATAAATCTTGGACAAACATGCATACACAAAAGTTACCATGTACTTCAAATACACTAAAAGTATACCTATTTTATTTCTGTTCAATATATTTCTTAATTTTGGCTTCTTTTACAGGATTTCTTTCTTCACTTAAAGATGTCATATTTGTAGGGGCACCTGGGTGGCTCAGTGGGTTAAGCCTCTGCCTTCGGCTCAGGTCATGATCCCAGGGTCCTGGGATCGAGCCCCGCATCAGACTCTCTGCTCAGCGGGGAGACTGCTTCCTCCTCTCTCTCTGCCTGCCTCTCTGCCTACTTCTGATTTCTGTCTGTCAAATAAATAAATAAAATAAAAAATAAAAAAATTAAAAAAATGTCATATTTGTAGAAAAAAACACTAGCACACCTGTCTTTCTTCTATGACTCCCCTTTCTATTAAGGCACATATCCTAGACTTAGATAACAGTTACATAGGAAAAGGTGTTATTTATTGAAGATAAGCTTAATCCTAGATCAGAAAACCTGGCTTGCTACACACTCAAGCCACTTAATTCATTTACTCTGGAAAAAGTAAGCAAGCAGAAAGTTCTCCAGCTGGCTGACACTGCTTGGTCAAATGTGTGCTGGAATAGGACAAAGTAATGTGGTTACTATCCGTGGTGCTGAAACCAGAACCTAGTGTAGTGAGATAAAGGCTGGCTATTTGAAAAGACTCTTCAAGAAAACTAAACCTAAGAATAGATAATAACGTAGAAGAAGGGACTTCCAACCTCCAAAATATAAGAATAAAATTAAACCACCAATATCACTATATCTGGATTCACAATTCTTTCTTTCAAATCCCCACAACTTTCAATATTTCCTTAAGCATCTATACAATATATCTCATCATTTCTACATGGACACATAGATTCTGTCTCTTCTGGTGTCTTCTTTAATTAAGTTGCAGAAAAAGAAGTCCCTCCACTTATTATCCATTAACTCTCACAGTTATTTTTGTTACATCTGAAAATCACAATGTTCTCTAACAACATTTAATCCTAACTTGAGCCACTATAACAATTTTCATTGACTCATGGGACATTTCCTAACCTTATCTTCAAAATAAGAAAGATCGCCAAACAGTTCCATATTAGGTCGCAGCTCAGAGTAGCAGAATTTCCCCTGGAGGATCCCCTGGTTCCTTCCTCTTGTTGGATCTATAGATTAGTAAGATGTTCTTCTTGTTAACAATGTAAATATCTAAACCAGAGCTTTCCTGGAAAAAAAGAAAGAAAACTTTGAAAACCTAATATGTTTCTTAAAATGGGTGAGAAGATACCTTTAAACCAGGATCAAAATTAAAATGGGTGAGAAGGTATCTTTAAACCAGGATTAAAATTTTTAAAGTCTGTATATCAAAGGACAAAATTTCTTTGTGCCAGACCACCATTAGATTCCACCAACTTTGGTGTCTGATTGAGTGATAGGAAGGGCGCAAAAAGTCTACTCCTTCTAACCATCCAGAATTTCTTCCTTAACCCACATTGCCTATTGCAAATACAAGTTTGTGTAAAGGTTATGGAAATGGAGGGAGAGAATGAGAGAGAGACAGAAATGTACTTTATTTCATAACCCAGTAACCGAGGTGCTTCCTGCTCTGGTTGGGCCACTGCTCTCCAGGGCTGGTGACTGAACTGAGAATTATGGTGGGCCAGCCCCTAGGCCTAAACCAGGGTGTCCTACTCCCAGAAATAGGCCTCTTGCCACACCCAGTCTCCCAGTGTTGCTGAAGACTAAACTGAATTTCTTTCCTCCTTTTCTCAAGTAATGTCTCTGCTCACAAAGATTCTCTTTGCAGAATTATTGCAGATCTGGAATAGAGATTCCAAGAGATGTATTTAGAGCCAAATATCACAATCTCATCTTGGACAGAAAAGCAAAGCACCCCGTGAGATGAGCTCTAGCTATTAGAAGACTATTATAAACCCTGTTCTTTTACACCTTCCTGGAGAAACACCCCCTACAAAATTCCAAATCACACTATGATAACAACTCTATACTAAGCCATCAAAATGTTTCTGCTTTTAAAAAATCCCCCATCAAAATAATTCCATGTAAATGACTGAAAACAGCATCACATTTTAAAAGCCATTTAATTTTAATAGTATATTTTAATGAAAAAAGCAGCATACTTTGCCAATAAAACATTAAAATCATCTTTTCAATGAAAGACAATCAAACAACACCAAAAATAACTTAATACATTACCATAGTAAATAAACCATCTATTAACAAAAAAAACAAGAAACCAGCTCATATACAGAACTCAAGACTTCAAAGAGCCTCAAATGGAACAGCAATACAGCAAAATTTGTAAGAATATATCTATATGTGCATCATTTGAATGGAATATTTACAATAGATAAGGTACCAGTCACCATGTACCTAAATTTTTTTTGTTCCAAAAGAATTCTACCAAACAATGTGAATTTACAAGCAGTGCACTGTCTTTCTTATAGTTCAGATTAGTTTTTCTACAAACAAACCTCCAAAAGGAAAAACTGAAGGATTCTTGTAAATGTTAAAATGTAGTCAATAAAGCAGTTCAAAACAAGATGATTGAAATACCTTGGTGAAATCTTAGCATCTGGAAGGGCAAACACCAAGTGGCAAATGCACCTAAAGCTAGAAAATGATGCATCATAGTCATGCTTCCAACTGCTTCACTTCTTCTCTTCCATTAGAGGCGTGTGTGTGTGTGTGTGTGTGTGTGTGTGTGTGTGTGTGTAAGGGTGAGTGAGAGAGCATGTGTAGTGGGGACAATGTGGGAATCCCCATTAAATATGTAACAAAGTAAACAATACTTTAGACAGTGAATCAGGTCTACACAATTAAGACATCCATTACTGAGTGTCGACTCACAAATCAGAACACTACCAGTAAAAACAAAGAAAAAACAATCATCATTCAAAGTGAGAATATACAAATGGGCCAAAGGAACACGGTATAAGAGGAAAGCCATAAAAATTCAGTGAACTCATGAAACATAAAATTGTTTAACTCCACTAGCCATACATTTCCCCCGTTTGTTAGACTAAAGAAGTTTAATTAATTAGAATGTGCACAAATTAAGTTGCTAGAGAGATAAATTAATAATTTACAGAGGGTTGTTCGGCAATAATCTAATAATAGCTTTCAAGATCAGTGAACACAGCAGGCGCGACTCCTTTCTTAAGCATTAACACTTCAGAGAAGGAAGAAGGGGGTAAGAACCACAATAAAAATATATATATAATATACAGTGTAAATGCAGAAAATCTGCCATCTTTTTTTAATTCAAAATACTTTAGAGATGTCTCTATCACATTAAGCTTCAACTCTAGTTTAAAGTTTCAGTCCTGAATCGATTTCTATTTCTGAAAAATAGCTGCAAAGTGTACTTTTAAACTTGAACAAGGGTGATGTCTTTAGAAATAAAAGCAAATCTTACTTGATCATTTTGGGGGCCTTTTAAAAGGCTGTCTCGTCTGCCTTTCTGCAAACAGCCAGCTCCAGACTTCTTGGGAAGAAGCCGAGGTGCCTTTTCCGGACGGGGTGGGGTTAAAAGGGACAACTTTGCTACAACTTGACAAATCCCTTCTTTTGTTTTTCTCTCCTTTGAGAAATGGTTTCACATTCTCACCGGGCTTGGGCTCATTTGCTTGCTCGTTCGCTCGCTCTCCAATCCTCGCTCTCTCCTTATTCACATTTACTGGAATTGTTTCTGGTAGCCAAAGGTGGAAAGAAAAGAGGCAGGAAAGAGAGAGGGAGGGAAAAGAGGGGATGAGGAGGGGCTGTCCCTGGAGAGGCCGAGGGTCTCCTAAATGCCCGCAGAATATTTCATTCTTTTCTGTTTCTGCCTCTGGTTGCAGAACCAGACGCGCACCACATTTTTCTTAAGGTCCAGCTTCTCCGCGATGGCGGCGATCTTCTCCGAGGAGGGCCTCGGCTGGATGGCGAAGTAGGCTTCCAGCGAACGCTTCTCTGGCGCGGCGATAGAGGTGCGCTTGCGCTTCTTCTCCGCGCCGTTGAAGAGCTCGGGCTTGGTGAGCTTCTCGCGGTGGGACTTCTCGGCTTCCTCGAGCCACGCTTGCAGGATGGGTTTGAGCGCGATCATGTTGTTGTGCGACAACGTCAGGGACTCGAACCTGCAGATGGTGCTCTGGCTAAGGGAGCCCACGCCAGGGATCTTGAGGTTGGCCAGCGCGGAGCCCACATCGGCCTGGGTCACCCCCAGCTTGATGCGTCGCTGCTTGAAGCGCTCCGCGAATGCCTCCAGGTCCCGGGGGTCGGCGTCCACGTCGCTCATGCAGCCCATGTGTGAGGGCAGCCCATGCGCGTGGGCCATACTGAGCGCTGCTTGGTGCATGGGGTTCATGGTAGCCATGTGCGGCGCGTGAGTTGGCGTGGACACTACGGCGCCGTCGGGGCCAGCCATGGCACCCAGGGCCAGCCCGGGACTCAGGTGCTCCAGCAGCTCGCCCTCAAGCGCCTGATGCGGCTGATGGTGGTGGTGGTGGTGGTGGTGGTGGTGATGGTGCGTGCCCGCCAGCGCGGATGGGTGCGAGATGGGCACCGACGAAGAAGAGGCAGCCGACGTGCACGGAATGGTGTTCATGGTGTGGTAGGTGGCGTCCGGCTTGAAGGGGCTGTGGTGGGGCGGGTGGTGGTGGTGGCTCTTGCTCTGGGAGACGATGTCCACGGCCGCCAGAGCCTCGGCTCGGGCCAGCAGACTCTCATCCAGCCCGCCGAATATATTGCTCTGCAATTGCAAGTAAAAGGCACACATTACGCTCAGCAGGGAATTGTGCGCACTCTCTCCGGAAGCCCCGGCACAGCGCTCGACAACACCGCCGCGTCTACAACATTCCCAAAACGTTGAAATAATAATAATAATAATAATAATAATAATAATAATAATAATCCTGAAAGTAGCAGGTGAGGCGGAGAGGAGGGAAGTCACTGAGAAAAACCGAGCGTGCACGAGGAGGAGGAAAGTGAGCCTGCAAACAACACAACACAACACGCGCACAGGCAACATCCCAGGTCATAAAAATTAATATGAAAGAAAAGACCCGCTGAATACATAAGAGTGAGAGGGGGGAAATTGGTTGGAGGTGTGGGGTGATTTGCTGTGCAGACATGAAAAAAACATCAAGCAGATAAAGGGGGCTGTCAAAATGTGCCTTTAAGCGGTGATTATGCAGAAATACGCACCGGTGGGGTTGGAAGACACGCTCTCCGCATCGCCTCGGAGCCCCCGCCGCTGCTGCCGCTGCTGCCACTGCTACTGGAGCTGCTGCTACGGCCTCCACCGCCCCCGCCACTGCCACCACCGCCGCCAGCACTGCTCGAGCTGCTAGGGGAGCTAGCTGAGGGTGCCGCGGGCGCGGAGGAGCCGGGCGAGGCGCTGTGCAGTGCCGAGTACTTGGGTTCCACGTGCAGGCTGCCGCTGTGCGGCATGCTGAACGCCTGCTTGCTGTTCAGGGACATCATCATCATCTTCCCGGTCCGCCCGGGCGCTCTTCCGTAGCGCACTCACAGGTGCCGTCTGCCAGGACCCTCTTTAAGAAGTGCTGGGTGAGCGCAGGAGCTGGGAAGGGCAGTGCAAAGTTGCGCTCTCCCGCCACCACTCCCAGCTCTGTGCTCCTTGCCGGAACTATGCGCTCCTCCTCTGGCTCCGCCGTCAGATTAAGGGTTTGCTGGGCTCCTCTAGGCGCTGGCTGCAGACCTGGGCGCCCAAAACTGCCCCTGCGCCTCGCGGCCGCTGAGTTATACTCCCCTCTCCCCGCGCCTGCCCCTACCCCCGCCCTCTCTCCCTCCCTCCCGCGCGCCTCCGCCCTCCTTGCCAGTAAGTGCCGGTTTCTCCTGCTTGGATTCTAAGGTCGCCCCTTCTCTCTTTGCTCCCTCCGGAGTCGGGTCCGTTCAGCTCTCCAGATACCCGCCTCCCTCTCCCCGCTGCGCCCTCCACCTCCCTTCCGGCCCCCTCCCGCGTGTTGAGGCCTCCGCCCCTTCCCGGCGCCCCGCAGCTCTCACTTTCTTTAGTGTCCCCGATCAACCCCACCCCACTGTCTAGGTCTGCGCTCCAGTCGCCGGGCAGTCCCTAAAAGCCGGCCTCCAGCCCCTCCTGCTTCTTCCGCCTAGTCTCCGCCACTCCGGGAAAGAAACTCTTAAATAAAGTTGAGGGCAAGCCAGCGTTGGGTGGGTTGTTTTTTCCCCAGACTAGTAGGAACGTCTTACCTGGCTGCTTCCCCCCTCCTGCTTACCGCTAAGCTCCAGGCCTCCACCCCCACTTGGCCCGCCCCTCCCCGCAGCGCAGGTGACCCCGATCTCCTACTCCTGGCGGAAGGAGAGTTCGGGGAAACCGCCACCCACCCAGCTCCACCGCGCTGCTCTGCGCTTCCGCCAGGTGCAAGCCTCAGTTGGCGCTCAGCGCGGCGCCCCCTCGGCCCGGCGGGTACCTGGTGCCGAAGAGACATGGGGTCGAACGACAGGGCTGCAGGGCTTTCTCTCACTCGGTTTCTCTCAGCTCTCAGCGGATTGGACGGCCACGGAGCCAGCTCGGGTCGCCTGTGCGCATGCGACTCCCCCCTCCCCAACCCTGTCTACTCCCCCCCACCTTACCCCCCCGCCAGCCGACACGCACTCCTCTCCACCCTCTTTTCTCTTCCTCCGGATATTCCTCCTCCTCTTCCCAGTATCCAAGTTCAGCGTGAGTTGGGTCTTGGGCGGCTCCATTGGCAAATACTGCCACTCATTTTATTATTCTTCATTAGCCACAATCAAAAGAGGAAGGGGCAACTGATGGAGGGAGAGGCAGGGCCAGAGATCACAGAGCGCATGTGCTGCTGAACACCCCCCCCCCAACATACACACACGCACACACACGCCCTCGGGGGTTGGCACAAACCCCACTTATCTTCATTTCCACAGCCGCTCAGTGCAGAGAGCCTATTTTTAGCCATCACTTTGCTCGCACTTTTGTCCCAGTGTGGACCACTCTTCTTAGACGTGGACACACTCTTAGTTCCGATTGTAAAAGCAGGAGACAACCTTTCCTACACACACACACACACACACACACACACACACACACACACACACACCCTCCTCTCCTTCCCGCTCCAATCTTCTACTTCCCTTGATGTTAGGGGCTGCTGTCATCTCCCCAGAGCGCGGAAGGAGCAGAGTATAGGCGAGGGTGAGGAGGCCCTGGGACCCGGACACTGGAGTCTGCGGGTGGCCTGACCCGGACTGGGGTACTGGGAGCAGGTGCAGGCACTCGGTGCCTGGGGAAAGCGAGCAGGTGCGAGAGCAGGCGGCAGGCCTGAGAGGCGCTGGCGCGCGCTGGGACAAAACAGAATGGAAAGGAGCGTGGCGAAGAGGGGCCCTCGAGTGGTCTGCGCCCAGAAGCCCCGCGGTTGCAGAGAGCAGGGGCCGCGGTTCACCCATGACCTCAACCGAGTGGCATGGCTGGTTCAAGTTGGGAGCACAGTGCCCGGGAGTCGCCAAAGAATACTGGGAAGGCGGCGGCAAAGGGAGCACGGCGAGCTCTGTCCACGGTCCTTAACCCCTCTGCGCTTTCCTGCGCTATCCCCAGACTTGCCTTTTTCCTCCTCTATGTGGAGGAAAATAAATAGTAGCAGAAGGAGATTCCTACCAGTACTGCTCCCGAGCATGAGACTGGAAAAGTCTAGACATGAGATTAGACAGGGGGTGTTGACATGAATGAATGTGGCTTGCGCTGGACGGTTCAAGTAAATGCTTAGGTGTTTAATTTCTACCTCGACAACAGCTACGGTAATTTTCAAAGAAATAAAAAAAAATGACATTGTACAGCTCTTACTGTCTCAAGCTTCGAGAAATGAAATAAATCAAAGTTAAAAGCTTGAGTATCATTTAATTATAGTGCGAATAGCGCTTTGAAAGAAGTAGAACAACATCTCTAAACAAATTATGACTGGGCCAGGAAGGAATTATTAGATTGAAATTTCATTTAGGCTCTGGAGACACCGCGCTTCACTGTGTAATCTGCTATGCCTCATCTGATTTGTATGCTTAATTCAGCTTGACGAATTTATTAGTTTTCATAATAGTGAAAAAATTGAGCAGCGCGATGGGCTAATGCATTGTGTGTACTATAAATTGTATGTCATCGTGGAAAGGCTGAAGTCTATAGAAATCTTTTATTAATGTCGGTATAGGAGGGAGGATTTTTGTGCAAGCCTTGGAGAGGTTCACGCCAAACTCCACTGTTGCTGTGTCTCCCTGGTCCATTAACACATCGTCATACTAATTAGACTACTTCATCTATGATATAATTTCAAACTTCAAATTATGTTCTAATTAACAAGGGTTGTCCAATTTGCTTAATCTTCAAAAGGCTTTGGATGGTCTAATTAGTGTAAACTGTTGAGCATCTCTAAAGCCTAATAAAAATATTAAATAAAGTTAAATATTTGGGGTGTGTTTTCTGTCAATACTGTGTAAGGGCCATAGGGCTAAATTGAGTGTGGAGGAAGAAAATACCAGGAAGACAAATGCTCACATCTACCTCGTCCCCCCCCAGATTATAACACTAACTAAATCACAGGAGAAACCTGAGCATTGCACCTCCTAAACAGTGTGTTTATGTGTTTAAATAAAAGCATAAGAATATCAAGGAGAAAAACCACATGGGGAAAAATTCTTCTCTTTCATTAGGTGCCTAATTAGATGTAAAGTGAAAAGCAACCCTGAGGAGTTTCCCAAGCATTATTGTGGCAACAGTCTGCTGAACTTGGATTGCAAAATCAAATATTTGGGGGTGTTTTGAACCTCTCCCTGTCTCCTCCCCCTTCATTGAGCTTAATTACTTGCAATAGTTGTTTTAATGTATGTTGTCACCTGGGAGTATTGAGAAATGCATATCGTTAATATGAATTAATCTTGATTTTAATAGCAACTGACAACTGATCTCCAAAATGCTAAACACTTGTCACCACTTCATATGGTAAATAAGGTAGTATAGTAAATTCATGAAATAAAGAGAACACTGTTGAAATGACTGGACAAACTTTGTTCGATATGGAATTGATCAACTAAAACTATTTTAAGCAAGACAACTCCCAAGAGAATATAGTCCTGATGGCTCAAATCCATATATCATTAAATTAATTTACTATAACTTTTTTTTAAATCTCTCAGAGATTTCTCAGTGACATTTAAACCCAGACAGGAAAAAGGGGAAGCTCTGTATTCTAATTGCCAAGTTGAGATAAATTAATATGTAGCTGAGCAATTTGAGTGTATTTACCTGTATTCCATTATCCCTAGAAAACACATACTTAAAAAAAAAAAAAAGAAAGAAAGGACGTCGCAGCAGAGTTAGATCTCTCCTTTTCCCACTTAGAGTGAAAAATAAACAGCAGTGATTGTGCTGTAATAGAGAGAAAATGCCATTCTTCCTTAATCACCAGGATTTGCAATTTTGCGATGTCTCCTTCCAGGAGTGTCCAGAATACCAACTTCATTGTGATATCAATAAAACCCATTTTGGTTTTGCCCACAGGCATTGCTGCAAAGTGCTCCCGAGAGTGTGGAAGCCGCATTCCGAGGAAGACTCCAGCCGTCCAGGTAGGGGAGGCCATCTAAAGAATGGAAAGTTGGGGACAGACTCAAGGGGTATGAGTGAGCGGCCCAATATTCAAAATCTTCATATGACCTCAAAATTCACTCTTAAACCCAAGTAGCTATCTGCACTGGTGCCCCCATCTCTACAGACCTACTTAATAAACTGAAAACAGAGAAGTGATTTTTTAAAAGCAGAGAAGTGGAAAATGAATCAAATGTGTGACTACATGAGGAAAGCCTTTCTTCTCACCAAGCCTCTTTGTTTGACAATAGCTTCTGTCCCATACGCTGCCAGATGCAGACAGATGTGACCAGCTTCCCTCTGGGCGGGCCACGAGTCGCTGGAGGTTCCACCCAAGCTCTCCGGCAGCGGCATCGGGGTCCCTGCAGTAGGCGCCCTCCCACGACCCCGAAATCCGCCGGTAGCCATCCCAAGGGGAGAAATCACTGTCCTACCCTGTATCTGGGTCCTAATGTACTATTAAAATTTTAAGCTGTGCATTCATATTTTACCGGACCTAATGTGTTTTTATTAAATTTTAATCTAATAAGGGCAGTGTGATTTCTTTGTATTTCACACAGAATTGAGTTGGACTACAGGGAAGATTTCTTAAAGGACAGATCTGACTCGATTCATGCACCATTTCGATCTCCGGTAGACAAGGTTTGGGGGAGGAAAGAGGGAAAGGATAAGTGTACCCCCATGGTATCTCCTCAAGGAAGTCACTCTGCTCCGGATTCTGAATAAAATCAGACCCTCTGAGCTTTCTCTGGACTCTGTAGCTTGGGGCAGAAAGGTAAGGGGTGATTAAACTCCTCCGTGGCCTCGCTCTTCCAGGAGATGAAAGGGAAAAAAAAGGGGGGGGGAGGGAAATACCCCTGAAATTGAGACTCCTGGGAGCGCCCAGCGAACTGGCCACGGAACGGAATGCCCCGGAAGGAGGGCTCTCCTGGGTTTGATTCGGCCTGAGACAGGGGTTACGTTGGAGGAGTGATGGGGGCGCTTTGTTCAAACGTCTTTCCGATCACGTCCACGCTGCTCCTCTGTTTTTCTCTAACTTTCTGTCTCCGCTGGCTCCCCGTGAGCCCCAAGTACCCCTCACTTAGAGATTTGAAGTAGTCTCTCTTTTGTCCAAAGATGCCGCGCGCCCCTTCTGTCCGATGACACAGCCTCTTCTCGGCGCTTTCCTGGCTAAACACCTCGCAACCTCC